TAAGATTATGCTATCTAACATATTTTATGAGATTGTACAAAATATGCTTTACTAACCAAAAGGGATTATAAAATCTTTCATTTTTAAAATGTAATTTAAAATATGAGTTGTGAAAAAATAAAAAACAAGTTATTTTACCAATAAAAAAAGATCATGGAACCAAAGAGAAAAGAATTTCCAACATGAAAAAGTTTTTTTCATTTGGAAATTGTACTTAAGGAACGAATATACTTGTGCCGTTTTGTAGTAGTAGAATTTAGGTTATTATCTGTACAACCTAGCCACCTTTACTTTCTAGAAACCTTGTTGATAAGTTTAAATAATGTATAATTTTATATGTTATATTTTAAGTAAAATTGTATTGGTTTAGTTCTATTGTGTAGGAAAAATAGAAAAAAGGAAAAACATTCTAAGCTTCATCCTGGGCTGCGGCATTGGACAAATCAATATCGCAATACCATCAAAGCCAATTTTAGAGCCCTTCAACATTGGTATGGTCATCCTGACTTCTTTATTGGAAAGAGCTGAGATGTCAAAATAGTTAGCATTGTAGAACCATGTTCACTGACTTCAAGCACTACAATGCCACATCCCATTACGCCTAGGCACCAAAATTTCCATTCCAGCACTACAACATTAAAAGTAAGCAGCGCCGTGGTGTAGTAGTTATAGATTCAAAAGAAAATGATCTGTAAGTGAAGTGACAAGACTCTTCACTAAGTAATTGATCCATTTAAACAGGCATCACAATTGAGCAAAAATATTAGGACAACAATGTTCGCTCATTTTATGGGTGATGTGGCTCTAATCTTTAAAGCACTATAGTGCTAGTTTCCTAATTTGTTTTTTTACTATAAATAGCTATGGTGTTATGTTTATAAGAGAGTTTAGTAACTTGTATAATTTTAGTAATTTCTAGAGTACTTCTTCAGATCTCTCTTAAAGTCTAATTTAAGAGAGACAAGGAAGTACTCTATAAAATAATTAGAGTATTTAGTTAGTAAGTGTTTGAGGAACTTTGCACATTAAGGAATAAGAAGTGTAGAGAGACATATTGATTCTTCCTGGTGATATTATTCTGAAGTATTTTTATTTTTTATAGTTTCATTGAAAATGAGTTTGCTTATCATATCTTCCATGTCTACTAATTCTCTAGTTTTGAATTGATGAAGTTGAAAATATATTATGTACTAATGAAGATTCTTGATCTTTAAAAGTGAAATGATGTTTTGAATATTATCTTGTTCTTTCTTTAATGCACATTGTAGTCATATGTATATTTAAAACCTAGTGTGATATCTATTATTGATGGAGGAATACTAAAACAACCAGGAATATTGAAATAGTATATTTACATACCTAGACATAGGATGGAAAATATGCTAGGTTCTTAAGGAGATCATATAACTGTAAGAGGTCAGTAGATATCCTTTTCACCACTATAAGCTTGGTAGAAATCTAAGGATGCATATTCTTAGAATCAACTAAAAAATAAGAATTTTATTATGAAATATATTCAATTTACATTTATCAATTCAAAACATTTTATTTAAATATTGTATGAATTATTTTAGTATTTTTATTCACTGATTGAATTATTATAAAAAATAAATTTAATTTAGTATGAAATATTTTTAATTAGAGTACCTAGTAATGGTTGATTGTTGAGAAGCATACTTCTTCATGGGTTTGATAGTCTACTCTTTCACTTTAGTACTTGATTCAACACGTATACTAATGTATATTAAGTGAGGTTTATTAATTTTATATATCAAAGAAAACCTATGCATTATTTAGCGGAGATACAACAACAACAACAACAACAACATTATTTATATAATTCAAAAATTGCACTCCATAGTTCCCCCATCACCTAGTTTATATTAAGTAGCACTTACCACGTAGACTTCGAAAGTTCTCTACTTTGCTTTAGCATGGTTAGTTGAATGCTTATTTATATTAATTGCACACTACAAACTCCTACTTTTTCTAGGTTAGTTTCTTAAATGTTCTTTTACCTAGATATTTTGTAAGGCTCTTAAGAAATAAAAAATTTTATTCTCATTTTAAAAAAATATATAGGGTAATTTTAAAAGATCATTGGTTTATAAATTAAGCTAGAGCTTAGCTTGGGTCATATAAATCAAATTTTTTTCTTTCCTTCCTTCTTAAGAACCTCCCTACTGGAAAGTAGATGTATACTAACCAAGCAATGAGTTGTAGTTATATCTCATGGGAATTTTATTGTTTTAAGATTAAAAAATATTTTTTAAGAATTTTTTTCTTAAACCTTCACATGCTAATTATTGCATAAGAGACAACTAGAATGCATTGCATTAGAAAAAAAAATTAATAATTAAAATTTAATTGTATTTATCTTTAGATTTATAAAAGCCTTTCATAACTTAAAGGCCAGTTTGGAATTTCTCTACATGTCAGCCCTATATTCCAAAAACTTGAATAATAACAAATTATTCAACTTACATTTGCGTAAGACTAGAATTATTGTATTAAATAGAATATGTAGAGTTTTAGCTAGTATTGACACTGCGTGTGGGACTATAAATCAATAACTCTCGTGTTTCTAAAATACTTTTCTAGAGTCAAAGATAAAAGCCCCACCTCTTTGAGTTTGCACTCCATTAGACTAGGATTAAGGACACCACCCTTAAGTTACTCATCTTTGATGTAGGTTTTGAAATAGACCTTAAATTATAAGTCCTCATCCTATAAAAATATAATATTGATTTTCAAATATAATGGAAATATAAACATATCCATGTTTCTAATATATTAAATCCCATCATAGTATAAAATGTGGCTTTTCTAGGTTGTCCCATAATCTTTGTGCTCCCTATCATTAAACTTTTGGCCTTAAGAAAGAATTGTTCAACATTGAACCAATCTCCTTTAAAAACTCAAAAACCACTTATCCTTGACTTAAGCTCTAAAATCAAGGAAAATATTTGCAACTACATTAATCAAGACTGTTCTCTGGAGACACATCTCCTTGAAGCTAATTAACCACAAAGTATTGCCTTTTTCAAGAATCTGTAACTCCAAATTAAAATAAACCTTATCTTTTGACTAAAAAGTAGGAACAAATCTCTATGACCATATAAAATTTTTCAAAACAAATTTTTGCATTCCAATTCATTTGAAAAATATTAGGTTCATCTTTTGAAGTGATATTATATTATATTTTGTATCGGATTATAGAAAATTCAATTTTTAAAACCTATTTTTCATTCAAATTCCTTTATACAATATTATAATCTCCTTTTAGGTTGATATAGTATTTTCTATAGTATGTTTGATTACAAAAATGTTAATTTTTTTAAAATCAAAATTTGAATTTAAATATTATTATAAAATATTATGTCTACCTTTGGAGACAATATGTCTTCTTTTTATTGTATTTGACTATGAAAATGTTATACAAGTGCTGTTAAAGACTAATTGGAAATGATTTTCAAGAGTTCAGGGAAACTAGTAGCAGCATTAGCTTTAAAAAAAAATGTTTGAAGATGATATGGAAGATGATTATTGGAGTTGGATAAAAAAATTAAAGCATAGGCCACAAGTTGAATTGTTTTGGTGGCATTTATATAAGAATGTTATTCCTTCTAATTGTTTCCTTGACTTTATAAAATTAATTGACTATATTGGATACCTGAGAGGTTGTGAATATGTTGAAGATGCTGAACATGTTGATGTGCATTATGGTATGATTAAAAAGCTATTTGAGCGAATGAGTGCTTGGAATTTCCTGGTTCCATCTAGTCACTATCTGGATGAATGCAAGAAGTTATTGAGTCATCTTGCAGTTTTGAATCTTTTCATTGGTAATCTATATTGCTATATGGTATTTTTTTTGTTGGAAAAGGAGGAATAAAATTTTTCATGGAGATCACGAAGATAGCTGCTCTTACATTCCACCAAACTCAATCAAACATGTAGTTGGTTCTTTTCATGCAAATCCGATTTTGGAAGTACTGGGAAGTTTATCAATATAATATCTTGTGTCATTCCTCTTGGTTTCCTCCACCTCGAAGTTGGATTTAGATTAATGTGGATGCTTCTTTAATTACCAACAATAATGCTAGCATAGGTGGAGTTTTCATAGATCGCAAAGGTCGGTTCTTAGGTGCATTTGGTTTCAGCTGTCTTCATTAGGATATTTCGCAAGTTGAGTTGATATCAATTCTTGCTTTGAGGAATAATGTTCAAGATTGGATGTTTAATGCCAAGGGTATTGTGATAGAAGGAGATAATCATAATGTTATCAAGCTTTTTTAGATTTTTTTACATAAGTCTATGATTTCAAAAGAATTTTTAAATCCTAGGGATTTAGACCTAGAGAGAGAAGCTCTTTTTTGATTAGGTCCTAAAGAGAGAAGCTCCCATATTTTCTAGAGAGAGAAAATATTGATTTTCAAATTATCTCGTTTGCGGGCTTTACGTGGATGGTGATTTTGAGGACGACTGATCGCCGGACGGAGGATTAGCGGTTTTCTTCACAAAGATCATGGAAACTGTTCAACCTTCAGGTCCCAATCATATCCTTGGCAAGATTACTAATAATATTGTAATCATAGAGGGTGCAAAACCTCTTGTTCGTCAAGAAGTAGAGGAAGGAAAAAGCAAGAAGGCTTTGATCGATCATGATGTTGGAGGTGCTAAAGATATTACAATTGAAAATGATATCTCAGGTATTCTTATTCCTATGGCATCTTCATATGTTGGAATGATCGAAGGTTAATAAGTTTGTGAGAAATTCTAAGGAAATTGGTGGCCGTGTTTTAGTATCTGAGATAGATGCTTTGGGAAGGCAAAATGAAGTTGAAGATTTTAATCTCCTGAAGAACTCTGTGATGATGGAAAAGCGGGACAACAATGCTGATGGGGATCCTGTTAGAAATGATACAAAGGAAAATTTTACTGAAGCTTAGAAGAAACCTCAGCATATCAAGATTTCTTTCAACATGGATTTAACAGAGATGTCTGATGATGGGATTGCAGTCAAGCTGAATGTTGAGAAGGAAGTTTTTAATATGCAAGTTTTGAGGCACTCATTGGTTATCAAGGTGTTGGGAGATAAAATAACCTTTTCGATGTGTAGTCTGGAGTTAAGGAAGCGATGGAATAAATTCGGTAGTTTTCATATCACTTCCATCGGTATGAAATGGATTTTATGTTTGTTTTAATCTGCGGAAGCCATGGATGAAGTTTGAATGGTGGTCCTTGGAATGTGGGAGGACACATTGTTGGGATGGACAAATGGTCCCCTCTTTTCAACCCCAATTCCTTTAAGGGTATTACTGCATCTGTTTGGATTCACCTCCCCTGTTTGCCGTTATACTATTGGGATGAGGAGAATACTCCTAGGAATTCTTCGAGTGTAGGAGTACCTATGTTTGTGGATGGGAATTGTTTTAAGTGGGGGAAACATGATTTTGCTCGGGTTTGTGTGAGATTAAAGCTAGCAAATAGGCTTCCAAATGGTGTATGGGTTGATGGAATAGCAGGGAGATTCTTCCAAAAAATAGAGTATGAGAAGATTGACTTGATTTGCTATCATTATGGTAAGGCGGGACATGATAGAAAGGGTTGCCCTGACGGTGTGATGAATGCTTATATTGATCAGCCAGTGAAAAATCTAGCCGCTAGGAATGATGTGGGAGGACTGGTTGATAATAAAACTTATGGGAGCGAATATAGTCCATGGATTCATGTTCAATTTAAAAATAGAATGTTTAGAAAAGGAAAGTTTGCAAGAGGTGGGAGATCTGGTAGAAAAGCAGCGGAAGTGAATGTTCAGGTTCATGATGTCAAGGATGTTGCTGTGTAGAATTTGGCTCAATATATGGTGGCTGATGTGGATATAGAGTTAAAGAAGTTTGATGAGCAGGCTCTAGATACTGACAAAAGTGCTAGTAAAGGTGAAGCTGATAAGGAGTTTGAATCGACATTAGCTGTAACCAATAAATTTGAGGCTCTGAATGAGGATTTTGAAGAAGGGGAAGTGATCGATCATTCTATGGTGGTTCAGCAAAAGAGTACTACTGTTGTTGACAATATTCCTGAGAAAATGGAATTTGCTGCTTCTCTGAATAGCACTTTGGTCAAAATGAAATTGGATAAGGAATTGAAATCGTTGGGACCTTTAGAACCTAAGCATTGGAAAAAAAGAAAATTTGGTAATGGAAGCGTGCCAGGCGGGGACGAATCCCCTATGGTTAATAATTGACTTCATATGTTTTCTAGAATTATAGGAGGGCCAGGAAAAAGGAGGCTTCCTTGTATCTTAGGGAGAAAGTGAGGGATCATGATGTTTTTTTTGTTGCGCTGATGGAAACCAAGCTAACAAATGTTGAGAGAAGTGAAGTTGATATCCTTATTGGGAAAGATTGGGATTTTTTCCACCATCCAACTGTGGGTACCATTGGAGGTATTCTGGTTATGTGGAACAGTAAGGTTGTTTCTTTTGTGGTGAAGGAGAGTTCATCTCAAGTGGTAGTTGGCATTCTTTCTACACCTTCTACGGAGATTGGAAGGTGGCTACTGTGTATGGTAGTAGATGTTGTATTGAGAGGAAAAATCTTTGGAATTTGCTAGAGAAAAGTATGATGGAGTCGTGTCCGGCCATTGTTGGGGTGTGGGGGGGTAACAATAAGGAAGGTTCTTCAAGGATTTGGAAAAGACTTGATAGATGTTTGCTTAACTCTTCATCTTTACACTTGGTCCCATTTGGGAAGGTGAGGCATCTTGCAAGAGTGGCATAAGACCATAGCCCAATTGGTTTAAATTTGGATGCAAAGAAGATTAACAAGACCAAGGTCATTAGATTTGAAGACACTTGGAGGTCTTTCCCGGCTGCATGGAATATTGTTTATAATTCGTGGAAAAAGGCTGATTTTGGTGAGGAGGTGGTGGTACATCATAGAAAACTTAGAAGGACATTGAGAGCATTATTTTTCTGGAGTAAAAATGAATGCAATGATTTATGTAAGCTAAAGGAAGACTTAAAGAGGGAGATCATGGAAATGCATATCGAGGAAGCTACGGCTGAGAATTTTTCTCTGGATGACTTGCTCCTTCTTAGAAGCAAGGTACATGAACTAAATGTCACTCTTAGAAGGCTTTCTATTATGTGGAATCAAAGGGCTATGGCAAGATGGAAAGAGGAAAGGGATACTAATTCCAAGTTTTTGCATAACTTTACATCAACTAGGAGAAATGCAAAGTGGGTGAGGCAAATCAAAGATGTTAATAACCATTTGGTGGAGGAGGATGATCAAATTAAGCAAGTGTTTTTACAATTTTTTGAAGAGAAATGGAAGTACATAGCATGTAAATTGACTGAGTGGCCTGGTATTTCAGAAAAATAGAAGCTGGATGCCTCGGTGTGGCAGCTTTGGATGCACAATTTTCTATGGAAGAATGCAAGGTTTCCGTTTTCCAGCAAGGCAATAACAAGTCACCTAGTTTAGATGGGGTGATATCCTCTTTCTTCAATTTTTATTGGAACCTAGTTTGTGAGACTACTTGGAATGCTATAAAAAAGTTCTTAAAGTCTTGAGTTATGCACAAGGAATGGAATGATACGCAAATTGTATTAATTCTTAAAGTTAAGAACCCGGTTGTACCCGCCAATTACAGGGCCATAATCCGTTGTCAAAGTACTTATAAGATTGTGGCCACCATGCTGGTTAATAGGCTGAAAACCTGCATGCCCAAGATGATTTTAGAAGAGCAGCTGGCGTTCATTCCAGGTAGTTCTTTGTCTGAACACTGCATTTTGGCAAAAGTGATTTTTACTAAATTTAAAATTTCTAAGAATAAATAAGGAATGATGGTTTTTAGCTTGATATGGAGCAGGTGTACGATAGTATGGGATGGCCAACTTTGAATCAAATCCTTCAATGGTATGGTTTCCCCGTTATTTTATTCTAACTTGCTTATGGAATATGTGGTGAATGCAAGGTTCTCAATTATCCTGAATGGGAGGAATTCGAGATGGATTAATTCTTATAGTGGATTTTTGTAGGGATGCCCTCTATCACCTTACTTATTCATTATGTGTTCCCAACTATTTTCTAATGCAATTGAGGAAATGGGGCCATGAATTTTGTATTCAGGTTTCTCTTAGAGGATCAAAGATTACACATCTTCTCAATGCAGATGATGTGATAGTTTTTTCTTGTGCAACTAATTCTCTGGCACGTTTGTTAAAGAGTATTGTGGAGGAATTTTGTAAGTGGATGGATAAAAGAGTAAATGTCAACAAGTCCCAAATCAATTTTGGAAAGGCTATTAGGAGATCTTATAAGAAGAAAGTGGCTAGAATTCTTGGTTTCAAAACTGTGAAGGAATTGCACTATCTGGGAATCAAGATCTCTTTAAGGAGAATGGGTCTGGCAGATTTTCAAGACCTTTTAAGCCATGTGACGGATATATTGAATGTTTGGGGTAAGAAATCTCTATCCTTGGGATGAAGAATTACTCTCATCAAAACTTACTTATTATCTATGTCAAATTTTGTTCTTACACAGTCTTTGGTTCCTAAGAAAGTGGTTCATGAATTGGAGAAATTGTGCAGGAGATTCATTTGGCACAAACAAGATGGGAGGAATGGATTGCACTATGTAGCTTGGGATGAGATTTGTAAACCAAAAGGTGCAGGTGGATTGGGAGTGCAGTTTGCTGTAATGAAAGGTGGTACTTTACGGGCAAGGCTGGCTTGGAATTGAATATAAAATCCTGATTCTTTACTTCACCGAACGCTCATTGCTAAGTATGGTGATAATATTTTGAATGAACTTGTATGAAGAGCTCTTCTAATGCTTGGTAAATTATGAAGGATGGAGGTAAATATCTTAAACCCATTGTTAAATGGAAGGTGGGTAGAGGGAATAAAATTCATGTTTAGAGTGATGTTTGGATGTTGGACAAGTGTTTTAATGCTTGGGAAACTTATGTTGATTGTGGAGCTTTGGATGATATAAAGGTTCAGCAATTTATTTCTACTAAAGTTGAATGGGTTGAAATGAAGTTGCTAAATTTTTTTCATGAAGAACTTGTCAAGTTAATCAGGCAAGTGCATATTGACATCCAGCGGGAGGATCAGGTGGAAACCGTGTACAAATTCTCGGGCAAATCAATCTCTGCGGTGGCTTATGATCATGTGATGGAAGGGAGAGGTAGAGAAGATGACGGTGGTTTTTATAAATGGCTTAAGTATCTAAAGCTCAACTCTAAGGTGGAAATTTTTCGGTGGCGACTTAGTAAGTTCACTATTCCTACTAATCATTTTCTCAAATTTTGAAGGTTTGCGGTTGACGATCTTTGTGCTAGAGGATGTCAGGAGGTGGAGAATTATGAACACATTATGGTTCATTGCAAATATCTTCAGAATGTTATTTCTAAAATTAAAGAATGGGGATTTTATATCCCTGTATTTCAATCATTGGATTGCTGCTTAAAGGAGCTAAGAAGAAGCTATGGCTGAATGGCTGGTTTGGCTAGAATTTACTGAGTTGCAGTATTTTTGTCCTGGAAAAACCGAAATTTGGTAAAACATGGAAATAATGCTACGCATAGTTCTTTGGTGGCTGCTAATTTGCTTTCTTTAGCTATGTTGAAATCTTCTCCATATCTAGATAGCTAGGGTGCTAATCTCCCAAGAGAGTTTTGCAGTACTTGGTTCCCTCCATCGCTAGAATGGATCAAGATTAATGTTGATGCCTCATTGTTGAGCTCAAATCAGGCTGGTATTGGTGGGATTTTCAGAGACTGCAAAGGTAGACTTCTTCTTGCTTTTGGTAAGAATAGGATACTTTGGGATGTTTTCCAACTTGAGATGGAGGTGATTATAGTTATAAGGGATTTCTTCCAAAGTTGGATGCTTGAAAGTAAAGGTATTATCATTGAAAGTGATAATATCAATGTGATTACATTCATTCAAGATTCTTTGAAGAAAGGTTATTGGCTCTTTGAGAAATGGCCGGTCAAGGAGCTTTACTTCCTTGATGATTACAATAATGTCATTTTTCATCATGTTAATAGGGAATGTAATAAAGTAGCCAATTTTTGTGCTACTTTGGCATTAGATGGTAGTTTCACATTCGATAGTTTTTCATTTGGTAGCATTCCGACTTCCTTGATTTATTTAGTCAAGGATGAAAGGTTACCTTTTTATCTTTTGTAATTAGACTTGTTTTCCTTTTAATGCAATGATTTTGCACGTTTCAAAAAAAAAAAAAACGATTTAGGCCTTCTGATAGATTTTAAGCAAGTTATTTTTCTTTTTTCTAAATGGGAATATAATAAGTTAGCTTATTTATGCGCTAACTTATCTGTTCTTTCTATTTTTTTTTGGCAAGATGTTATTTGTAATAACATTCCTCTTTTTTTAGCTTTGTTGAAGGAGGAATTGAGTTTTATTTATTTGGTTTAATAAATTACTTTATGCATTTATAAAAAAATAAAGTCTATGAAAATGAAATATTTCAAAGCACCTATTTTTAATCCATTATAGTTTGATGTTATCATTGTCGTATTCAATCGTAAAAATAGAAGCACCCAAAATCTGCATGGAAATATTTTATTTCTGACTTATATTACATATTAATAGATTTCATGCACTCCTCATAACTTGAGACTACCTATCTCGAGCTAGGTAGCTTACTCATTTTTACCTTGAGTAAGTTTGATAAACATCTAAAAAGTAAGAGAGATAAGAGATTTTTTTGAATAAGAATGAGTCTTTCCATGTTAATGGTAAAAAATTATGAGTGACCAATGCTAATTCTTTCAAATCTTAAATAAGCCTCATGGATTTCAGGATTC